ATAGCATTTTTCTACATAACAATTATTTATAATGATTTATTTATTTTTATTGGGAAGGAAGATTTACAGAGGAGATGCAAAAAAAAAAAAAAGATCTTCCATCTGCTGGTTCATTCCCCAGGTAGCTGCAACAGGTTTACTTGATCTAAAGCTGGGAGGCAGGAGCTTCTGCAGGTTTTCCCAGGCAGGTGCAGGGTCCCAAGGCTTTAGGTCATCCTCTATTGCTTTCCCAGGTCACAGACAGGGATCTGGAGGAGAAGTGGAGCAGCTAGGGCACAAACCAGGGCCCATATGGGAACCCAGTGCATGTAAGGCGAAGATTTAGTCACTAAGCCATCGCGCTGGGTCCATAGCAAATCATTTTGTTTGCCTAATTTTAGACTAACTTTATAGATTATAAATCTCATATTACCTAACAAGAATATTAGCTATTGGATAAAACGTCTTTTATTTGAAATACAGAGAGAAGCAAAGATTATTTTTGTCTGTTGGTTCACTTTCTAAACACCTGTAACAGTCAAAGCCATGAGCCAAGAATTCCACCAGAGTCTCCCATATGGTGACACAGAGCCAATTATTTGAGCCTCCCAACGTTAACAATAACAGGAAACTTGGCCCAGCACAGTAACCTAGTGGCTAAAGACCTTGCCTTACATATGCTAGGATCCTATATGGGTGCTGGTTTGTGTTTTGGTGGCCCCACATCCCATCCAGCTCCCTGCTTCTGGCCTGGGAAAGCAGTAGAGGATGGCCCAAAGTCTTGGGACCCTGGATCTGCGTGTGAGAACCCTGGAAAAAGCTCCTGGCTCCTGGCTTCAGATGGGCTCAGCTCTGGCCATCTGGGGAGTGAATCAGCGGATAGAAGATCTTCCTCTCTGTCTGTCCTCCTCTCTGTATATCCAATTTTTCAATAAAAATAAATAAATTTGAAAAAAATATCAATAACAAGAAACTGGAATCAGGAACAGAGCTGGGGCTAAATTCCAGGCATACCATTATAGAATGTAGGTGTGCCATGTGGCATCTTAATCATTGCACCAAATATCTGCCCCTGAATTGTTTTAAAGGAATACAAATAAGCTATAGGAGTCCACATTCAATGTAAACTCATCTATCAGTCAACCTTTGTTTTGCTACGTAGCAAAACGAAACGTCCTTAAATTACCTATATAATTCATATCTTCCACCACAACAAAAGTCAAATATTTCCTTTTATTGCCACTGATATATCTTTCATTTACCTGACCTTTAAAGCTGTGTAATCATCTGTACTTTGTAATCAAATCATCTGTACTTTGTAATCAAAGATAGAAATTAATCAACTAGTTGTGCACTATAGCTATTAGGTCAGGGATTGGCAAATCATTTCTGTAGAGAGAAAAACAGTAAACATTTTAAGCTTCAAGAATAATATGTGCTCTGTTCTAACTATTCAGTTTGCAACTGGAGCACAAAAGTAGCCACAGATAATATATCAACAAGGACAGGTGTTAACTCAGGTCTTAAGACTCCTACATCCCACATCACAGTGTCTAGTTTTGAAATTCATATCAGAACACTGGTTCAGACCAAGACTACTCCATTTCCAACGGCACTCACAGCTAACGTACCTGGGAAAGCAGCAAAAAATGGCCCAAGTGCTTGGGCTCAATATCCATGTAGGAGAGTTCCTGTTTCATGGTTTTGGCCAGGCCCAGTTCCAACTGATGCAGTCATTCGTCTCTCCTATGGGCAGCAGCAAACATCTGCAGAACCCTGGGGCAGTGCTTCTGGAGGCTGTGACACTGACATTAACAGAGTTTTTGCCTTGCACATGCCAGGATCCCATATGGGTGGCAGCTCATGTCCTAGCTGCTCCACTTCCCATCCAGCTCCCTGCTTGTGGCCTGGGAGAACAGTCAGGGACGGCCCAAAGCCTTACGACAGGGCCCTGCACCCACGTGGGAGACCTGTAAGAAGTTTCTGGCTCATGGGTGCTGGTTCTAATCCCAGCTGCACCACTTCCCATCCAGCTCCCTGCTTGTGGCCTGGGAAGGCAGTCGAGGATGGCCCAAAGCTTTGGGACCCTGCACCCGTGTGGGATACCCAGAAGAAGTTCCTGGATCCTGGCTTCGGATTGGCACAGCATTGGCCATTGTGCTCACTTGGAGAGTGAGTCATCGGACAGAAGATCTTCCTCTCTGTCTCTCCTCCTCTCTGTATATCTGACTTTCCAATAAATAAATAAATCTTTAAAAAAACATAAATGCATATATCAAAATATTTATGTGGGCCTGGCGCAATAGCATAGCAGTTAAAGTGTTCGCATTAAACACGCTGGGATCCCATATGGGCGCCGGTTCTAATCCCGGCAGCCCTGCTTCCCATCCAGCTCCCTGCCTGTGGCCTGAGAATGCAGTCGAGGACAGCCCAAAGCCTTGGGACCCCACAACCTGCGTGGGAGACCTGGAAGAAGCTCCTGGCTCCGGATTGGCTCAGCTCTAGCCATTGTGGCCACTTGGGGAATGAACCATCAGACGAAAGATCTTCCTCTCTGTCTCTTCTCCTCTCTATATATCTGCCTTTCCAATAAAAAATAAAATAAATTTTAAAATTATGTAATATTTATATTACAACTAACTGAAATAAGAATAAAATTCCAATAGCTAGAGAAAACAAACAAAAAACACAGACCTAAGGGTGTAGGCAAAAGTAATAAAGATACAGGTAGAACACAGTGAACTATAAAGCACACACAGATGATAATCAGGAGAATCAAAAAGTAATTATTTGACTGTCAAGTTCTGCCCAGAGTTTAGTAAACAGCAGGTATGACAAACATTCAAAGTTAAATTTCCTCAGGGTAGGTACAGGGGGAGGACCAATGAGCCTCTATGGCTATATTCGCAATCTGTAGAACTGTGCCTAGTTCCCACAATCTTTCTTAAGCCTTTTCTTTATCAAACAACAGGAACAAAGTTGATGTAGGTGAGGAACAGGGAGGATCTTTTAAAAGTAAACCTAAAATTTAAAAATTGGAAGGCTTTTGGACCAATTCTAAGAGTAGCATAATTCTAATATCAAAATGAACACAGCATTAAAAAAAAACCGTAGGACAATCTCTCATGAACATAGATATAAAATCCTACACAAAATATTAGCAAACCAAACCCACAGTGTATGGGAAGGGTATAGGAGCTTCTCACACTCTTGGATTCTATATCCATAGATTTTTTTTGGTCACTATACTCCAAATAATACAAGTTAATAATTTACATTTATCTACATTTTATCAAATATCATAAGTAATCTTAAGGTATGTGTAAGGATGTGCCTAAGTTATATGCCAAAACAATTTACTTTCTTTAAAATATTGATTTATTGGGCCCAGCACAGTGGCGCAAGTGGTTAAGTCCTCGTCTTGCACGCCCGGCATCCCATATGGGCGCCGGTTCTAATCCCAGCAGCCCCGCTTCCCTTCCAGCTCCCTGCCTGTGGCCTGGGAAAGCAGTCGAGGACGGCCCAAAGCTTTGGGACCCTGCACCCGCGTGGGAGACCCGGAAGAGGCTCCTGGCTTCGGATTGGCATAGTATCGGCCGTTGCGGCTCACTTGGGGAGTGAATCATCGGACGGAAGATCTTCCTCTCTGTCTCTCCTCTCTGTATATCCGCCTTTCCAATAAAAAATAATAAAAATAAATCTTTAAAAAAATATATATTGCTTTATTTTTATTGGATAATCGGATATGCAGAGAGGAGAACAGACAGAGAGGATGATCTTCTATCCGTTGGTTCACTCCCCAAGTGGCCACAATGGCCAGAGCTGAGCCCATCTGAAGCCAGGAGCCAGGAGCTTTTCCAGGTTTCCCACGCAGATCCAGGGTCCCAAGACTTTGGGCCATCCTCTACTGCTTTCCCAGGCCAGAAGCAGGGAGCTGAATGGGATGTGGGGCAGCCAGGACACGAACTGGCACCCATATGGGATCCCAGCAAGTGGAAGACAAGGACTTTTAGCCACTAAGTTACCACGCCAGGCCCAACTCAATTTACTTTATAGGACAGATTTAGGGAGACTAGAATTGTGGTGTAACAAGGAAATCTTAAAAAAAAAAAAAAAAGTGAAACTTAAAAGTGGACAGTGTTGCTGTAAAACATGTTAAACCAGCACTTGCAACACAAGATTCTCTATCAGAGTAGTCAAGTCCCTGTCACTCTATTTCTATTTCAGTTTCCTGCTAATATGTCTGGGAAAACAGCAGAGGATGGCCAAATCACTGGACCCCTGCCATCCACAATGCAGACCAGGATGCAGTTTCTAGTTCCTAGTTTCAGTTTAGCCTAGACCTGGCTGTTGCAACTATTGGGAAATGAATCAGGGGGTGGAAGATCTCCCTTTCTCTCTATTGCTCCGTGTTTCAAATAGACAAGTTTTGCAACTGGTACAATGGTGTGGGAGTTTAAGCCGCTGTTCATGACACTAACATACCTTATCAGAGCAATGGTCTGAGTCCCAGTTGCTCTGCTTGCAATCCACATATTGCTATTAATGTGCCTGGGAAGCACTAGAAGATGGCCCCAGTGCTTGGGCCCTGTACCCATGTGGGAGACCATGAGGAAGCTCCACAATCCCTCTATGGACGTCCTGCCTAGTCCGGCCATTGTGGCCATTCGGAGAGTGAACCAGCAGATGGAAAATCTCTGGTCTATCTGTGCCTTTCAAATAAACAAATAAATCCTTAAAAAACATAGTGGTTATTATAAAACATACACACACAGAGTGATGTACATACATACACATAAATACTCAGTGATGCAGAGAGAGGGCAGAAGAGACTCCTATATTTGAATTTTTGATGAGCATTATTAGTTCATAATTAACCAGTTTGAGAGGAAAGTTTATAATCAGGCTCAAGATTCATAACAAGTTAAGCAAAGCCTTATGTCCTAATTAAACATAATTACCAACTGTTGGCAGTGAATCTATCAGCAAGACAATAGGAGAAAAGCTGAAGCATCCCTCACCTTGAAAACTTCAGAGAAGAAGCCAGATCCTATTTTTTCACAGGTAAAATCATCCAAACGTGTCAGTCTGGAAAATGCCTTCATAAGCGCCTGGTACGAAGATGGCCACACTCTTCCCGCCTGCGTCATGTTCCCATCCCCTCCACCACCTCCTTCAAACTCCTCAGGACGTTCCACGCGTGGAGGAAATCCTGCGATGGAATTCCGCTTGCTCCGATCCATAGTCTCAAGGATCACTTTCTTCTCTTAAAACGGAACTCCAAACATAATAAATTGTTGTGAATTTTACTTCTCTTCTGGTTTGATGCTAAAAAAAACAAGATTAAAAGAATCCTTTATTAACACCATTAATGAATAAACACATGCAAATCAATGAACTCTTAACACAGAACTATTTCCTGTCACATTCTAATTTTTAAATTTTAGATATAAAAGCTTTTAAGCTTTTACCTTCAAAAAGCATTCATATACTTTTTAAAAAAGATTTACTTATTTATTTGAAAGACAGAATTATAGACAAAAGGAAGGAAAAATAGACAAAAGTAAAATATAAGACTGATTCAAAGGCCTGTAGCTCAACCAAGGCTTTGTATAGCCTCATATAATTTTCTCTCATTTGAAAACTTAATTCTAAACATATAAAGGTGACAGAAATTACAAATTTACATGAAATTCTGAATAAGAAAATCTAAAAGCAATCTAAACATTCAGTTTTTCCTAAACAGCATATTCCAGTATAAGTAATATAGCAATAAAGTCCCCCCTTATCTGGTATAGTTAAGAATATTGGCACAAACAAACAAACAAAAAAAAACAAAAACAAACAAACAAAAAAGAGTATTGGCACAATGATCAAGTTGCTGCCTGAGATGCTTACATCCCATATTGGAGGGCCTGGGTTTAAATCCTGGTTTTATTCCTCTTTCAATTCCTGCTAACCTGCACCCTGGAAGGTAGTAGATAATGGCTAAAAATAACTGGGTTCCTGCCACCCTGAATTGAGCTCCCAACTCCTGGCTTCAGCCTGGTCAGCCATAGTTATCACAAATTATTAGCAGTATTAGCAGGGTAAAGCTGCAATGGGAGATCTCTGTGTCTCCTTGTCTCTGTTTTCCCAATTTTTAAAAGAAAAAGTACAAGTTCATACATTATTTTAACTTGTCTCTGTATCTACTTTTTCCCACAAGAATCTAAGAATCATTTCAAACAACATTGCAGGACCTGTATGATACCCCAGTGGCTAAATCCTTGCCTTGCATGTACCAGGATGCTATACGGGCACTGGTTCAAGTCTCAGCTGCTCCCCTATGGGTACTGGTTCAAATCCTGGCAGCCTCCACTTCTGATCCAGCTCCCCATTAACATGCCTGGAAAAGCAACAGAAGGTGACCCAAGTGCTTGGGTTCCTATACTCATGTGGGAGACCTGAAAGAAGCTCCTGGCTCCTAGCTTCTGACCCACCCAGTTTTGATCAGATGGAAGATCTCTCTGTCTCTTCTTCCCTCTGTAGCTCTGCCATTCAAATAAACATGTTTTTTTTTTAAATAAGCAAAAAGGGGAACCAGCACAGTAGCCTAGTGGCTAAAGTCCTCGCCTTGCATGCACCAGGATCCCATATGGGCACCGGTTTGTATCCCGGCAACTCCATTTCCCATCCAGCTCCCTGCTTATGGCCTGGGAAAGCAGTAAAGGATGGCCCAAAGCTTTGGGACCCTGCACCGGTGTGAGAGACTCAGAAGAAGCTCCTGGCTCCTGGCTCCTGGCTTTGAATTGGCTCAGCTCTGGCCATTGCTGTCTTCTTTCCGTAAATCTGGCTTTCCAATAAAAATAAATAAATCTTAAATAAATAAAGCAAAGCAGTAGCTGTGTGAATTCACAATTTCCTGGTTATGCCATTTTACCATGTGGCCTTGAAAGCAGAAAACGTCAAGAGAAAAATATAGTAAGAAAAACAGGGAACATTCAGATTTCCCTGTTGAATTCTAATTCCTGATTCATGAAGCCTAATTCCTAACTGTACCCTGGCTGAAGACTCCATGGGACAGATCATACTTTTAGAATAAATATATTAAAAATTCCATTGAGTTCTACAGTATCTACAGAAGAAATATCTTGAAAGAATAAATTATTTAAGCACCTCAATTGAATCTATGCAAAATAACAGGATTGGGACCATGAAATCAGAAATTTAAGGGCATAAGAACAAAAGTTTGGAGTTATAAGACCAAAAATTTAAAATTTTACAACCAGTAGTAATCATCAAGCTTGGTCATCTATTTCATATTTGAAGAAACTTAAGCCCAGAAAGGAGAAATGCTGTTTAAATGCTGTAAGATCTTTACTAGAAAAGCAAAGCTACAAGTAAAGGAATCAAGAGTGCTGCGTTTCTCAAAGTGTGTCTGTTTCAACATCACGTGAGCTTTTATGAAACCCAGAGTCCTGGATTACACCGTTGATTTACTAAACAAAATCTCTTACAGTGAGGTCTGGAAAATTGACCAGGCTCAGCATTGATAATGAACTTTAAGAGTGGAGGATCCTCAATAGTGGAGATGGGATGACGCAGGGTGTATGAATAGCTACAAAGTGAGCATTTTCTAACATTTAATCCTTAAAACATTGCACCAAGGTTAAGTATGGCCTCCATTTTACAGAAAAAGAAACACAGGCTCAGAAGGTTAAGTAACCTGCCTAAGCACATGCAGCCAGTATAACCAGACTTAGAGCCAAGCTGGATCCAACACCGAAGCTCAAGTTTTTTTCCATTTTGTTATTTCTGAGTTCAGTATTTTTCCATTCAGACAGCTTCAAGAAGTTAAATTAGTCACGTGCATAGAAAAAAGACAGAGAAGTGCAGCAGAAATCTAAGCTGATTATAATTTGATCATAGACAGAAAATAAAGAAAAAGAGAAGTAAAAGCTATCAAAGTGAAACCAAATATACAAAACATGGTTGCCTGTTAAATTAGCTGAATGATCTGACAGGTTCGCCATCTACTATGTTTTTCTTGTTATGAGATGTATTTAATTTTTCATGAAATGCAGTGTTAACTTCCCCAATGCCCTCGGGGTTTCCTGGGGGTAGCTGATCTAGTTGTCAATACTAAAGAACAACAAGACAAAATTGCTCAGTCCAGCTCAACAGATGTTGTTTTATATTCTCAGCTAGGTAGGAGGAAGTAAGGCATTGCTAATTGTAACTGAGCTGCTTTAGTAAAAGTCCTGTTACAAATTTCACCATAGGACAACAGACATAATTTTAGTATTTTCATTTGAAAAATAAATAACATAGCTCACAGTACTTTTCAAGAGAAAATATTTTTCAAACAGTAAGGGTATATACTTAAACTCCTAAGAACACAAGTACAGCAAACTTACCCAGGTTTATCTCATTTAATATAATCTATAATAAATGAGAAAAAGGAAATAAACCAAATTTCATTTATAGGAGTAAGAGATAAATTGAAGAATGTCTTAGTGAGCTACATAGCATTTACCTGAGTGAAATATCTACCAATATAATTGTATTTCAAAAAAACAATGTTGAGTGGGAGCAGGGAAAAGCAGGTTGTAGTTAATACCATCATTAAAATTTTTTTAAAGATTTCTTTTTATTGGAAAGTCAGATATACACAGAGGAGGAGAGACAGAGAGGAAGAGCTTCCATCTGATGGTTCACACCCCAAGCGGCCGCAATGGCTGGAGCTGAGCCAACCTGAAGCCAGGAGCCAGGAGCTTCTTCCAGGTTTCCCACATGGGTTGCAGGGTCCCAAAGCTTTGGGCTGTCCTTGACTGCTTTCCCAGGCTACAGGCAGGGAGCTGGATGGGGAAGTGGAGCTGCCCATATGGGTCCAAGGCAAGGACTTTAACTGCTGCGCTATCATGCCGGGAACCATCATTAAAAAAAAATATTTTTTTTTGCTGTTTTCAAATATTCTTCAGTTATAAATTTTATTTTATTTATTTTAATTTTTTTCCTTTAATTTTTTTTTTATTTTGACTATCTTTACATAGTTAATTAGGGTAAAAAGTTTCAAGGGCTACAGGAAAGTGGATAAGACTAGTATTTTTTCCATATTGTTTTCTTCATGTTTAAAGAGGGTATTAAAGGAGAAGGCCCACCCAGTTTCCCATCCTCCCCATCATTAAAATTTAAGCACCTTTTAAGCTGTTACCACAAAAAGAGCCAGCATTGTACATTGTAGCATAGCATCTTAAGCCAGCATCACAGCAATCTTAGGAGCATCAGTTTGAATTCCAGCTGCTCCATTTTTTATCCAGCTCCTTGCCAATGTGTCTGAGAAAATAGTGGGAAATGATCCAAGCACTCTGGGCCCTGCCATCTATAGGGGGAAAACGAATGGAGTTCTGGACTGTGGCTTTCATTCTGACCCAACCTTGCCCACTGTGGCTATCTGGGGAGTGAATCAACAGGTAGATTCCTTTGACTCTATCTCTCCTTTTATCTTAACCTTGTCTTTCAAATAAATGAATCTTGAGAGGCCAGCTCTGTGGCCTAGTGGGCTAAACCACCACCTTCAGTATTGGCATCCTATATGGACACTGGCTAGAGATCCATCTGCTTCACTTCTGACCTTGGTCTCTGCTAATGTGCCTGGGAAAGCAGCAAAGAGGGCCCAAGCACCCACGTGGGAGACCTGGAATAAGCTCCTGGCTTCAACCTGGCCCAGTCCCAGTTGTCACAATCATTCAGTGTATGTACCAGCAGATGGGAGATACATCTTTATCTCTTCATCTTGTCACTGTAACTCTGCCTTTCAAAGAAATGAATCTTTTAAAAATACATAAAATATTATACGCTTTGAATTTGAGATCTGGTTTGCCACTTCCCAGAAATCAGTTAACTCCTTCATTATTTCTGCATTTGTAAAATGGAAATCATAGCAGTATGTTTTATTTTGAGAAGTTGGAAGTATTCAGTATACAGCACTTGGAAAAGTGCCTGAATTTCAGTAAATGTCCACCACTATGTAAGCAATACAGCACCTACCACAAAGCCTTACAACTAGCAGAAACCCAGTTAACATTTGAAACATAATCAAGACAATTCCTGAATTGATGAGAATATAGAACTACACCTACAACTTTCTTTTTTTTAAGATTTATTTTATTTTTATTAGAAATCAGATATACAGAGAGGAGGAGAGACAGAGAAGAAGATCTGATTCATTCTCCAAGTGGCTGCAATGGCCAGAGATGACATGATCTGAAGCCAGGATCCAGGAACTTCTTCTGGGTCTCCCACACGGCTGCAGGGTCCTAAGGCTTTGGGCTGTCCCCTGCTGC